TATGAGAAATGTAACAGTACAATTTTCACAACACTTCCATATGCGTAAAACCAAATTCAATGCACTTCAGCCACCTCCGAATAATCTCATTCATAACTAAGAGCAACATCTTAGGGAACTTCCCTGCATTACAGTCCTGATGTGTTGTTCCACATCTGCTAAATTTTATGGCCCTATAGCGTTAACTTTTGATTTTACATAGCCCCACAGAAAATCGACAGGGGTCAGGTCACGTGACCAAGGGAGTTGAATCGCGTCTCCCAATCCATCGGTTTTAAGAGTCGTCGCACGTTGAGTGCACAACAACGCAGAGTCCCATCCTGTTGAAAGACGATCTCATTGAGGTCAAAGGGGGCTCTAATTGAGTAACAGCAAACATCTGGAACATTTCGTGATAAGTTACACCATTGACATTGTCGTTTGTCCGTCATGTCGGGAAAAGGCTCAATGTTTCCTTTGGCAGTAAGAGCAGACCAAACATTTAATTTTGGGGTATCGCGCTCATGCTCACGAAACACTCCTGGGTTCTCAAGTCCCCAAGTTTTTAAAAATGTATTGTGTGCGATTCGTATGGTTTTAGCATTAACAGCGTCGCGAACTTCGAAATGCCTTCGGAATTCACGCAGTACATGAGTCGCTGAACCAAATGTGCCCATCAAAATAGCCATTTTGCACCGCTACAAAACCGAATAGCCTTCTGCCATTCCAAACCCAGAAACTGGAAGCTTGGTATTTAAAGAAAGTTTCTCTCCACTTGATAATAATGAGTTAATTTCGCCCTAAAATATTTAAAATCTAAGGAAATATAAAGAAAGCAAATTAGCGAATGACTTTTGAATCACCCTGTATGGTAAACGTAGTGCACAGATAAAAGCAACTTGAATACCAACAAGCATCAGCACAAAAGAAAGAAATCATATGGGGATAACCCTAAAAAAGCAAGAAAGCAACACTCCTGGGCATAAATATTACCTATAAAGAAATTGGCTTACATAGTCTGCGATTGATGCACTTAATATTTTAATCTGTCTACAAACTAAATTTGAACGAGACATTCAAAAGCCCTGTCTGAAAAGTGATTCAAATTAAGATCTTAATTTCTGTTCATGTGATTATAGATGAACTGAGTTTTGAGCAACATTAGATTAGATTTCACAAAGTCACAGACACCAAAATCAGCAAGGAAGTGCATGAAATCTTGAGGAACTCTACCAGGAATAATGACAACAGCACAGTTCTAAAGAAAGAAACATCTCATTCTCATTGTGATCATGCTCCCACACAAGGATGGTTGGCAATGTGAAATTTAAAAACTCACATGTACTTTGAGAATTTAGCTCATTATAAGAGATTTCCCCTTGCTTTAGGAAAACAATTTTTGAGTCTTTGAGGCCCAACATTTATAAAGGTGTTCCTGGTTACATCTAATTCATGTGAGACTTGGTTCTCTTCACTGTAAAGAGAGCTTTGTTCCTTTTTTGACAAATTCATTTTAATGGTCCCAGATTAACTTCATACCATGAAGGTGATACCCTTAGGTCAAACCCAATATCAAATGCATGGAGATACTAATTCCTTCTTTGTTGCATGCATACACTGTGCAGTGCAAGAGGCACATATGATATCACTTCTTCATGAGAATCACTTCTCAGGAATGCCAGAGTCTGATTTTGAATGCCTCAACAAAGGAAAAGAAAATGCACCTTTTTCAAAGTTTTAAAATACAAAATCAGACAACAATGACATTATATCTTTATTGGGCATTTTATGTCCCGAAGTCATATTTCCTTGCTTTCAAGGGTGTGAAGAGCATGACCAAAAATATAAAAGCTTTAGGACTTGAAGCCCTGCAGTGAAAAGAGAAGAAAAAAAACCTTGATTTTTTATTTTGAGCATGAATGACTTATATAGAGTCCATAATCATTACAAGGGAGGTTCGACTGGAAAGGACCATTTTGCATTATGAATACTTCTGTATGGCACTGATGTGCCTCATAATGAACAACATTGATGTGATTTCCTTCACTTTCCCATTCAAAATGAATGCAGTGGGTTCATTTGAATGCCTTGCCCTTTCCTTTACTTTCCAAAACAATCTTTACCAATTTGACATGAGAAATAAAAGAACTTAATGATCTTTAATGGTATGCACGATTAGAAGTAAAAAAGTAGATTTCCTTAACAAAAATTAAAGCAGTGTACCAATACATTAGACCTACAGCACTGTACAAAGTTTTGCATCCCAGTTGTGAAAGGCAAGCACAGGGGGAAATATCTGGGTCAACACTCACCTTTGGGTATCATATCAGATTCTTCACTGAGACTCTGTTCTTGCACATTGTTGGGAAATGTACAACTGTCTTTTTCAGATCTGTCTTCCATTATTGTTGAAAGGGAATGATGAATGAGATCATGAATTTGTAACTTCACACGGGCCTTGAAATCAGGCCCAGAGACAAAGCCTATCATCTGAGGCAAGCCTGAACTCAGGCTGCCTTTGATGATGTGGGTCTATAAGAAAAGATGGCATGTCTTTCTCCTGTCAACCAGGATATGCAGCCCTCACCTGTAAGGTTGGAAAAAAAAAAAGAAGTGAAATCAGTCACTTTCTACATGTGTGATACCTACTCAGAGCAAATAACTATTAAAGATGAAGACCTATGTAGGTTTTGCAAATCAAGATGAATTGCCAAGAGAATCCTCCTGGTGAATTTCTCATTTTCTTAGAAGCTTACAACCACTTGGCACAAAGGACTCTCACATCATGCCTGCAGCATTTCACTTTGCCTGAAGATCTCCACAATTAAAATTATTCTCAATCATACCAATCCTTACATTATATTGGATAGCCTGAATAGCCTGTTTCTTTAGAGTAATGTATTCAGGATGTAACCACCCTCCAAATGTGATTTTGGCAATTCTTATCAGTTATAACAGTCAGGACTTTGAATTTGTAATCTTTTCTTTGTCAGAATCAAGAGAATGATGGTCCCAACAGGAGAAGAAAAAATCAAGTAGGCCCATTAGCTCATTGATCAGAAGTAAGGTTTCCCAACCTCAATTAACCTGTTACACCTGATTCTAGCAATCTGAAAATTACCTTACAGTATGTGATACACTTCCTCTCCCTGGATATTGAAACTACATCTGGCCATATATTGCCAATTATGACCATGCAGGCATTTGAAAGTGTTTTCCTTGAAATCACCAGGAATAAGGCAGAATATGATGTAGTTTGCTTTGTTGCTAAATTGTAGTGAGTTGTTTTATTGTAGTGTTTCCATTAATGCACCCTTCTTTTCACCCAACATTAGATAAGGTTTCATTCCTTACTTTGTTTATCCTAAGATGGGCAGGGTGATCCTCGGCGATCGGCAGCGTATTGTTATCAGCCAGTTAATGTTATCAAGTTCTTCATACACCAGTGTGATCACAATAAGTGGCACCTACCGTATCTACTTTTAAAAATTCACTGGTAAAAAGCCAATGTAGGTTTTCATGCTTTCATAAAAGTTTCTGTTTCCCAATGGCTGGAAAATGTTTTTAAGAGCAAAGAGCACTCATATCTGAAGATCATATAGTCCATCAATGCTGCTAACATTAGAGCTTTGCTGACAATGTAGCATTTGGCCTTTCTACAATTTTTCTGTAGCACATCTCTATGGAAATTCCACCAGAGACTTGTTCCGTGTCTGTATTTCCCATAATGATGGCAGGAAAAAAGTTTCCATAATACTAAAGTCCATGCAGATTACCAATGTCAGGCCTCAATTCAGATCCTATGTAGGCAATCACCTGCTCATCCTTCAGTTAGTCTTCATGATGTGGTAAACCCAATTTTCCTTGATCTTTACTCCTATCAAGCCCATTGAGCTCCTGTCTATTCCTCCTGTTTGTCCTTCACACTCAAATGAAAGGGTCATCACATGCCTTCTACAATGCAATGATCATCCACACATAAGGAGCTTCAATTAGCATAGTTTAACTTATACATAAGGTTTACATTAAATCACCAACCAAAATGCTAATAACAACTGAGTTTATTACTTTAGTTTCTTTCTCTCATGAAGGGCGTGGTGCCCGTTGAGAGGTAAGGATGTACATGACCGCACAAGGAGTGCTTAACAGTGACCAGAGATAACTTAGGCCTACACTTTCCCAATGAACTATGACTCCATTGATCATGTTTATCATGTGTTCTTATCACTTGCACCACTTAGGCCAAGGAAAAACCCAAAACTATTTTTAAAAAAGTCAGAGTAAAAGTAAATAGGGCAAGAAGTGAGACAAGATTTGATGTTTCGAGAAGGAAGGTTTAGAGCGCGCGGGCTAAGCTTTGCTTAGGAAACTCACACCTGTTTCGTCTTCAGTCGAACTGAGAGCAGACGACATTACACGAATCAAGGCTAAAAGAAAGAGAAGCTGGAAAGACTTCAACAAACGATTTTAGGGCTCAAGGGAGGATCGCCAAATGGATACACTGCAGTGGTCAACGAATTGGGGGCAGCCATTGCTGCTTGGGTTCTCGCCTTTCTCTACCACGGTTGCTGAATCCTTCTCTGATGTCTAGGGATGACTGGAAGATTTAACTCTGGTGAAACGTCCTTTGTGGAAATAATGTCAATGGAAGATTTCTCAGAAGGAAAAAAAACTGCAGCTGTTACCTATTTCTTTTTTATGACAGCTGGACCAAGATCATAAGAATCCTTAAACTGCGGTAAACACAGGAGCGTTATGAAGCACAATAGCGTTTGACCGCCTCGCACTGGCAGAGGCGTAGCGAGGGGGCTTCAGCCGCCCCAAGTTATTTGGTTCAAGCACCCCAACTCCGGTCTAAATGCATCCGCCATCCCCCCCCCACAAGGCGAGGAGAAGTAAGCCCCCCATTGCCGAAACCCTGACTACACCACTGCGCACTACAGGTTAAACATGGAAATGCGACCCAATTAACGAATGCTTGCTTTCTACTAGGGCAATCGAGAAGTTGACAAGCACATATACACTTAGATATAATTTATTGTATTCACAGTCCATAGCAACCAAACATGAAAGAATTCAACGATAAAAAAATAACTGCCAATGTCTCTTTCACCAGTGCAAAGTAAAAACATGAATAAAAACAATCAGATTCAAGATTTGATGCAAAACTCATTAATAAATTCAAGTAAGGCTCTCTAAGTCTTCGGTGGTTCTTTCTTCAGGAGCTTCTGTTTTGCGCGGAGCTGCTTCATTCGCTGACTGCAGTACACACGCAGGAAGACAGCAACGAAAACCAGAATGATTCCCAAGAAAGCCTCCACTGACAATGGATGTTGGTAGATGATCACGGAAAGCAGGATCGCAATTGCCTGTCACAAAGACGTACAACATTCATCTGATGTTCCACATCACCACTAATCAACCAGCAATGACCAATAAATGATGGAATACCTGTCGGATGGTCATGATTATGATGAAGACCACAGCTCCAAACTGGTGAATGGTATAGTAAATAAATAACTGCCCAATGGCCGAGCACATGGACAGCAATACACAATCAATGAAGAAAGCTGGAAACTGGAAAAAGACCTCGAGTCAAAACGGAGCTCTTGAACTTATAATATTCATTACCGGAGACACTTACCGTGAACATAAACCTGAGAGACTCAAAGAAGCTGCCTTGCTGAAGGAGGGAGACAAGTGTAAGGGTAGTTGAGAAGATATTTACACCACACATCATTTGGAGGGAAGACATGCGGTAGCGAGTGAACAGCTCTCCCTGCCAGTTGGATGTGAAGCTGTCGAAGACTAGGTAGCCCACCAAGATGATGCATCCTGAGAACGTCGTTGTCCTTGTGTCGACTGCAAAATCAACAATCCACAAATTCCGTATTAAAGGAAAAAACATTTGTTCAAAACTGCGGCCTCGGTTTCTTGCTCTATGCTCACAAGCGTCATGTGATGAACACAACGATTATTAATAGGGCTGTGCGGTATTTCCCGCGCAATGTCGGTTACAGGAATTCCGGAAGGATTCAAGTTCAAATTTCAGTTTATTGCAAGTGCGAAAATATTAAAATCTAAATCATAAATATTTGTGATATTGTCTGGCCGTGCAGCGGGCAAGTTCCCACTGATCTGCACTAGTGGCGTAACCAGGATTTCGCCAATAAGGGGGCTAAGCAGAACGGTTGGGGGGGGGGGGGCTTACTTCTCCTCGTCCGGGGGGGGGGGGGGGGGGGGGGGGGGGGGGATCCATTTGTAGTGGCTTACTTCTCCTCGTCCGGGGGGAGGAGGGGGGGGGGGGGGTTGCGGATCCATTTGTAGATCAGAGTTGGGGGGGGGCTTGAACCAAACTTGGGGAGAGGCTGAACCTGCTCCTCGCTACGCCAATGGTCTGCGCCCCCCCGCCCCCTCTCCATTGGATACATTAGTTCCTGCGATATTCTTGAGAGCCGGGCCTGAAACCAAAGCTTTCGTCATCGTGCACAGCGAAACCGCAGGTATCGAGAGACCGAAGGAATCTAATCTAAGGATTGAAACCGTTCCTGCCCGCATAGAAAGGCACATGGTTGTCGGTTTTCTGATATGAACAGAACCAAACGGCAAATTCTTTCAAGGTTGAATGGGGACAGGAAAAGGAACCACAGTACCCTGCGAGAACGAGAGACTAGAAGATGGGGGTCATTGAGTTTAAGCGGTCGCAATTCCTTGAGAGCAGGAGCGAGCCGGTTGGTCGATACTTGATAATGAGTTTTATCTTCCCTTTATCTTCATTCAAGGCGCATGAAGAAAACCATTAGTGCGCAACGAAAAAATTCTCCCTCCGCTTTCGAGCTTCGGTATATCTCGGATGCCCCCCCCCCCCCCTCGTCCCAAGAAGAGGGATGCATGGGGAGGGGTGGGGGCCGTGCAGCCTCAGCCTAGGAGCGCCCGAAACATTGATCCTGCTCTAGCGATATTAGGAGTGTGCGTGCCCAACCTTTTTCATGTTTTCGCAGCAAGAAGGGTCGGTTTCCTGAAATGCTGCGGTAGCTTGAATTTGAGATCGTGGTTCCAAGTTTTCTGAGTATCGCACAACCCTTACGATTTTCCCGATACAGTTATTTGCATTTGCACAATTGTTGATGTTGGATAACAGAGTAAATGCTCAATGATTCCGACCATCAGGAGTCATATTATGGAAATTGCCTTGATTTTTGGTAATAAATTGCGATAAAGCAATATGCAATAAAGCACAACGTAGAGTGGTATGGATTCTCAAGGATTTCCTCTGGGTTTTCTGTGGATCTCCAAGAGAAAATCCTTGAGGCAGGCACATTGCAACGAGGAAATGTGGAACCCGGAGAGGGAAATTAAAATTACAGGTAGGAGCCATGCCTAATCCCGGGGGGGAAGAACGTCAGTAGATGGAAGTGCCGGTAGATGACTGAAAGTGTGTCGGCCCAACATTGATACCCTTGCAAGCCTTGTGGGAAATTCTGCATTATAGGGCCCAATCTGCATCAGATGACCTCAAAGCGGGATCAAAGAGGAGTTACATTCCCACAATGGACACTGTATCATAGACCAAAATTCAGAGAATAACTCTTCATTGTATGAGAGAAAAAAAAACTCTGGAGCCGTACTCATACAACCTATGTGCTATAGAGCCTCTGAAAAATTTTAATGGCATGTTGGACAGTCATCAATGGCTGAAGGGGAACCATTCTCACATGTATTGCAATTAGTCTGCCAGGATCATCATCTTGAAGATTCATTTGAATTTTGAGGCTCTTCAGACTTCAATGAACTCGGACTTAAAAAAATTGTATTTAATACAAATCTGGACCCTTTCAACCAGAGCTAACATTTTTCCGATAGCTTATCTTTTACTTGAATAAGACTCTGCACAAAACCGTGCAAAAAAAAATCTTTTAAAAGTAACATGCAATTAAAAAAAAATACCTTTTCATGCCTGAACTATGACTTAAGCATGGAGGAAATATCAAATTAGCTTTGTGGAATCAACAAAGCTTAGGAAACTTGGACTTGCTCTTTAGAAAAGTTTTAAAATTAATTTGAGCCAAAATGAAAATTATTTTTTAAATTAAATGAAATCATGCAACCTTAAAGTTCTGCCTTCAATCAAGTTTTCATTTTCTGCAGAATGCTTTTTATTTTTGTGTTGATTTCCATGACTTGCAAAAACCTTGTCTCTTTGCTTTAAAAAAAAAACCTAGGAAAGGAATTTCTGAAAAATGCTCACTCTAATCAATTTCCAATATCTCAATGGTTCCTCTCATTTTAATATGTCCAAGAGGTGCACAAAGGCACAACTGACAAATCATAAGCAAGTGATCAGATAGCTGGCATTGATGTGGTAAAACTGATGTAGCTGTCATCCAAGAAAAGTTTATATGCGAAATTAGTTACATTCTTGGAGTCTGTAGTTCCGGTTGGAACAATAAGACATGCAAGGGATAATGGTTCAGAAACATACTCTGGAAATACCACAGTTAGAAAGATTACCAAAGTTAGGATAATTTTTTCAGAATAAATTTAGACTTTAGAAGATCTTGCTACTTCTAGATTTCCCTTCTTCAATAGGAACCAATTCAGGACTCACTGTCTTTATTTTCTGGATTGGTGAGTAGGAAAAAAGTCATTCCAACAGAGATGAGGATAGCAGTGAAGTACTCATAGAATTCATATGTCTTTCTTGAGACAATCTTGCCCATGATCATCACAGGGATGACTTTGCTTGCTTTGGCAAGAACCTAGAACAAGGGGAAAATTTCTGGTTACTCAACTATCTCAGCCTTGTACCCTTTTCTTGAGAAGATCTCTAGCTCACTTGGGTGGGAAAGCTAACAAACTTGAGGGCTTCATACTGACACCATGAGCTGAGAATGTTGGAGAGGGCACAGTAGGAATACTTGTAGATGGGGGCATAGTGCCGTGGTTGAGGTATTGCAAGAATACACAAACCAGACAAGATCAGTGCCCAGATACGATTCACAAATACCAAGAACTGAGAGTCTTTGAATTTGGAATGGACATCAGGATTGTCCCCATAATAATCCTGCAAGCAGAAGAAATATACTTGAATAGCATGGCATCCAATAAATAAAATTACTAACAAAAATATTTAAGACTAATGGTATTTTAGCAGAGCACATTACTTTAGTCATCATCTTCTCCTGAAGAACTCCCCATGTGAGGTATGAGACTTGGAGCCCAACAAAACAAAACAGGAGGATTCCACCCCTTCTCCATATGGACTGAGTTTCTTGTTCAGAAGTGGGATCACTGTTGAGATCTGTAAATCCATGGGTCTCATGCCCCACCACACAAGCCCTAACTGTTTTTTGAAGGCAACTTCCATTGGATCCTGTGGGAAATGATGCAATTGAAAACATTTTAGGATGCACACTATGCACATTAAGAAAATCTGAAACAAGCACATATTGAAACCCCCACCACCATAGATTCACACAAAAAGACCACCATAGATTCACACAAAAACTCCACACTCACGTGAAATCCTACCTCCTTGAAGATATGGAGACTTCTCCAGCCATCTTATGAGGAAATACCCAGGAACAAGGATTGACATGTAGCCAAGGATATTGACAATGAAACGAAACACCCATGTTTCTGTAACTTGTTCCAGTGGGAAGCTGATGCTTCCATCACTCATGATTCTGAACTGAAAGTTCTTCAAATGATGAAACTCAATGTTATGTCTTTAAAAGGCAAAACATTGAGCACTGTGACTATTATGAAAAGTGTGCTCCATTTGTATCTGCTATATTATTAGAATAGAACAGCTTGTGAAACATAGAAAAATGCCAAACATACATAACATTTTGTTAGTGATTACATCATGAACTGATTCAAGACTTTAAGTAAATCCCCCCCACTTTCACTAGCACATTGAGGGTGGGGAGTTTTTATGTATGGTCTCTTACAAATTCAGCCTCAAGTGAGACTCTGGAATCTTGGTCTATACTAGCTGGGAGCATGGAAACCATGAGGCATATGAGTATTGGTGGCTTTGCAGGTGCAATTTTTTATGCATTCAATATAGCCTCTACATTTCATATTTCATGTTTTGGTTGAAATTTTTTGGTAAGAAGGACCTACCTAAATCAAGTGTTAAATATTTTATAGTCCAGAAGGAAGAAAACTCTTTTGTTTTGTCTAGGAAGAATTACTACTCTCTCTGTTTATCACAGTCCTAGTACTTAAAAAGTGGAATGCACAACAAAATAGTCAGGTGGAAGCTGAGTCACACCCCATGCTAAGGAAGATGATGGTCCTGACCTGCTTGGGATAAAGTAACCGTCCGATTTCAAGGCCTGACTTAGGCTAAGGTCCAGGCATCCTTAGAATTAACTTTGGCACTACCAGCACCAGTGTCTTACAAAAAACATTTCAGCCTTAGGGTAAGCATTTTGTATATTGTTTATCCTACTTGCTGAGAGAAGGTGAAGTAGCACAAAGGAAATGGCTATTTGCTTTTCAGTTAAACATTAAGGCCAGAATGCTGAAATATCCTTCAGTTAATGGTCCTTTTAGAATCCATAGACTCCTAGGAGGGAAAAAGAATTCTTTGACTAGAAGGCCTCTTTATCTCACCTAAATGAGGGTTCAGCATTCTGATCTAGTGCCCAAATGCTGAAACCTTTTAGTGAACAATACTTTAAGAATTCTTGAACTTGTATGGGATAAAAAGAGCTTTTAGCCTAAAAAAGGAACCTTTATCTCAAATGTTTCTAAAGATGTTTCAGCAAGGACTTCAATATCCACATGTATTGTCCATGAACCAATGAATACTCACCTATCTAGGGTTCCAATCAAATCCCTTCATAATTACCTTATTAATCTTTTTCATTATTATATATTATATTAATCTCTATTAATCTATCTCATTTATTTTACTTAATTTATGTTTATATTCATTTATTCATGCAAGGTCATTACCTTCAGAGATGTGCTCAGCTCCAACAATAATGACCAAGGTTTACATCCCACACCTCTTCTTTTTTCTTCTGCAGTTAGATTTTAGGCATAAAATACAAATTCATCATGCCTGACATGACTCGAAAACTTTGTTCAGTAAATCTAAAGGATAAAGATGACTATTTGGAATAGCAAGAGTTTGATTAACATTTGTTCTGATCATGCTAACCTTAGTTCAACATGTCTATCACCTCATTCCTTTCTGTCCTGCTCTTTGCAGTTTTTCTTTTTCAGTCTTAAAAAAGAACCAGAAATAGAGGTAGTAAGAGATAGACAGGTACAAGAACCATGCTTGAGATTAATGGCTCCTATATGATATAAAATAAGCATAAGAGCTTCCTTTATTTAAAAAATTACACTAAAGGTGGTGCTTTACTCTGATTCAACTGTGACTTTATACCACAAATTTAATATGATACATTTTTTATAATAATAAATGTGCACAGGTTCCAATTATGTCATGGTACTAAATACCATTATGTTCCCTATCAAACTTCTGGTAATGTATCATAGTATGAATCTCAACTTAACATTACATATGAATCAGCCTTGTGAGAACGACTTTGTCTTTATGCCCTTCTGATGCTTTTCACCTCATCTCAACATAAATATTTTACCTCTTTCAGACAATAAGTTTCTTGCCTTATCCCATAAAAATCTGCAAAGAGATGCATTCCCTTTGCAGCTACCATTGCTGAAAGAAGCCAGCTTCAACATTTGGCCAAAAGAATAACCTATAACCACAACCTGTAGAGATAATCCAAGAACTAACCTATAGATAACAATTTTGAGAAATCATGGGTTAGTGAGGCTTGAGGATATGTCTACCTAGCCACTTTAGACAATTCCGTTGCAGCAGTGAATGAAATAGCTCATTCTAGAATAGTACACATGGAAATAGCTGTGGATACTAAATGGAAAACTCATACATAACTAGGTTGCTGGTCCCATAGTCAAAAATAATTATGCACATGCTCTGCTGGCACTAGTCACCACCCTACTTCCCTTCATATTCTATCATGCCTCTGCTGGTCTTATCACCTCTCAATAAAATGACTTATCTTAGCTTTCAAGGTCTTTGTCTTCTTTCAGATCAAAATATCACATTGGAATTCAGGGGTTTAAAGTTTCATCAATTGCTTTGGGGCTGGAACTTGCATTCAAGGGAAATGTTCTGGCTACATATATAGCTGGAGAACTCTTGTTTGGTAGGCTAACAAGAAGCCAGAGAACGGAAAGAAACGAGAGACAAGATATGAAAGATATAGATGATGGCAGGTTTACTCTCACGTGAAACAGATTCCTCTATTCCTTGGAAATGCTCGCACAGACAATCATGGCCTAAAGGGGCTACCTCGAATGCGAGTGAACTACCACGTATCCACATGCCATAACCTTAGAGGAAATGGTAGGCCCAGCAGCTAGCAATAGGGACGCAGAGACTCATATAGTTACTGTGGAGGTACCCGCACAACCAACCCCTTGCCTCACCGATAGCTTAAGGTAGCATAAAGACCAAGACTATCAGTGCGACAATCACGCCACCAATAAGCCAATGCAAACTTAGAAAAGGATGGTTAGGGAAACACTTGCTGTACAGCCCCACCAAGCAATTCTTTTTCTAGAATTCTATCTGGTGTATTAAAAACTATGCAGCAGTATATAAGTCTCTGGCCAGACATAATCCCACCAAAAATAAATACAAGCCTGGCAAAGGTTTTCCAATTCTTTTGTGACTTTAAACGTGGCTGTACAGAACTCGGGAAAGGTAGAGTGCGGATCTGGAATACGTGGACTGACCCAAAGACAAAAAGGTAAGGGGAGGATGGAGGGGGGTGGGGGAAAGTGTTATTTAGTGCTGCCAAAATGATTTGTGCACGTGCTAATGCTAAATTTAGGTAAATATCACTGAGAGAATGACTGTTAACTAAAAAGTTTTTACGGTAACTCCAACGAAAGAAAGACGAAATAGTGTTCAGCCACGTGAACACAAGCTGCCTCTTGGAAATGAGGTCGATTGACCCCGATGCCGCATCACTGGATTATGTTCTAGAAAAACCTTGACCACGTGGCTCTCGCGCTGCTGTTCAGCCAGCAGTAAATCACGGCCGCGCAAAATGCTATGGGGTAGGGGAAGCAAAGAACTTGAAAGATTACTACAGTGTTTTTCACTTGAGTTAGACAATTTTTCACTTGACTCAGACACACGTGCATGGGACGTTCCTCATGCATGAGTGTCGAAGTCAAGTGAAAAAGTGTCTAACTCAAGTGAAAAACAAGAGTAAGTGACCGGTTGGGTTGGTAGCGAGCTTGGCTCCCATGGCAGTCGTGTCCCGTGTCCAATATCAACAAAGTTAGGTTTCGATTGAATTCAACCCCCCCGCCCCCCGTAGAGCATATACACACATTTCACTATTGTTCTATTGACACTATGCCTTCCCTTACTGTAGCAGAAGCGGAAATGGCTCGATTCCCATTTCAGTCACTCATATAGCCATGATCAATAACGAGGGTCACCCCAAAAGTTATAGTATCGATTTTGTCTACCGCGAACAAGTGGCACAAACTCGAAAATGCACAACCAAATACTTTCAAATATCCTCCCTTTTCTGTTGTAAAGTTCCGCCATTGTGGCGATCCAAAACGATGGAGTGTGATGATGCTCGTCACAAGCAGAGAACAGCGATTGGCTATCTCACAAGTGAATGAGTACTACTGATAAGCATTCATCGTCGTATTGTGAAAGCTTTATTGTGCCGATACACACATGTGCCGAAATGAGTACTGTTCATCGCTAGGTGGATCGCGGGAACAGCGGAGAAAGCGGTCTTAGAGAACACCGTGTTGTCTCCAGTCACAGCTGTTGGTGGCCGACTACCTCTTGGCCGATTTCACTTTCTCTCCACTTTTCACACGATTCACACAGCGACGCACAGTACTCTCATCGACACATGCATCATCAGAAAAGATCTCCACACGACGATGTGTGGAGATCTCTCGCAAGTAATCATAACCTTGTAAGGATCTTCAATAGCTGTTTTCTTCTCGAGGCGGATATCACTACATTCCTTTGTTTTGTATTATCACAGTGACAGTGCTTCCTGGATATGAATCGTGCAACTTGGCAAGGAACTGGATGACCTCTGAAAGTATCAGCATATGTGTTTTCAAGCTCGTGCCACCACCCTTACGGGAACTCCATATTCAGATTTCATGCGCGATATCAAATACGGCCATACAGGGGTGCTTTGCTCGAAATGTACATGGTACAAATAAAAATTATATATGGGAGACTGTATTTGGAAGCCGTCCAGTTCATATAATGTTTTGGCCATTCTTAATGAATATGGAGCTATACATAGTTCAAATATAAGCCCAAAATATGGTGCTTAGTTACAATGTATATAGCACATATAATAATTTGGTATGTTTTGGCTATCTAATATACAGGGTGGGCCAAAAGTTTTTGCCCCTGTCTAAAAATGTGAATATCTCCTGAACGATTTGGGGTACAGAGTCGAAAAAAAAACTAAAAGAAAATTCATTTCATGCTATTTCTGAAAATGTATGGTTTTAGGTTCCTACATTCATTTGGAGATGAGTCATGGCCGTTTGAAAAAAACATACCGAAAAAAAAAGTTGGCAAGACGAACCTATACCGTGCCGCTCACGGAAATCATCCTCAGCAGCTGGCTTCAAGGTCGCTCGCGCCGTCGT